CCTTCTCCCCTCCCCCTCCTACCCCCTTTTCTCCTCCTCCTCCTCCTCCTCCTTCCTTCTTTCTACTTCTTTTTTTTTTGTACAGGGGATCAAACTCGAAACACAGCTCTTCTTGAAATTGAAGGTGTCTCTATCCAAGATGAAACTGAATTCTTTTGGAGCAAAAAGATGTACTTCCCTATACACAGGGACTCCCGGGGCACATGCAACCAAAGCAGAGTAATCCAGAGAAGGGGAGCTTGTGTCTCTGGGAAGTTTATCCTAGTTTTCACCGTGTGTGTTACTAAGGATTAAACCTAGAGCCTTCCCAATGAACTGCATCCTCAGTCCCTTTTTATCATTTTTATTTTATTTTGTAAATTTTGAGACAGGCTTTTGCCAAATCACTAATTTGCCCAAGTTGGGTTCATACTTGTGACATTCCTGCTTCGGCCTCCCAGAGTACTGGAATTATACCACGTCTGGCTTGTACCAAATTCTGGAGCTACTAAGACTATTGGCACAGAATCCACGTGGTACTGTACCTCTCAAAGATTTAAATTAATTAAAAAGTAAATAAAATTATAGTTGTAGTTTCCTGAAACAATATCAAATTTGCATGTGTTGAACAAACATGGAACATAAAATCTTCTTTATGAAAAAAAATGAAAACTTCATAACAAATAAGAGAATAATAGTAGTTATTACACTGTGTTATTATCTTCAAAGTAGTTATTTGGAGTACAAGATATAAACCAATAAGATTCTTACAAAAAAAAAAGCAATACAGATAACACAAAGCTTTCTTTTCAATGAACTAAGATAAACTAGTTTAAGTGAAACAAATTAACGTACACTGCATGTTGAAATGTTTTTTTAAAACTATGAAATATGTGCTTTGGGAAGTATTTGCATTTCTCTCTTCTTCCTCCCCCCCGTATATATATGCACACCAACACTGTTCCTCATATGAGGTAAACCATCTGATGTTTGAACTTCTGTGTCTGACTTACTTTGTTTTACATTAGGAGCATATATCTTGAGGCAAGTGCAGCACGTTTGGTTACTGCTTTCTGTTTTTTTTTTTTGGAACTGGGGATCAAACTCGGGTCCTTGCACTTGCGAGGCAGACGGTGGCACCACTGAGCTAAGTCCC